AGTCAGTGTAATTATTGTCATTCTTACCTTTGATTGTGAAGAATTGTGATTTGCAGGGTATCAAAAAATTTTTTTGGTAGTATTATTCACGACAGGATTTTCGGCGGAATTAGGAGCCTTGCGAATTCGCATTAAGGATTCACTAGCCCCACCCTCTCGATGCCAAAAAACAACTTTTGATAGGGTTTTCAGCCATTTTTGTGTTTTTGGCCATAAATTTTTTTTTTTAAAAGATTTTCTAGTCAGTTTTCATTATTTGTCATTTATCATTTTTTTTATGTGATTTTTTATTTTATGACCAAGTCATCTAATCTTGGTGACTTAACATTCGATCTAGAGATTGAACGAATTGTACGTAGGTTGAGGAAAGAGGCTCGGCAAAATCGAGAGCAAGTTATTGTTTCATCGCCTGGCATCAACATAGCCCTTGATTTTGCATCTAACAGTTTGTTTAGTGACACAGAAGAAGAGGGAGTCATGGCAAATAATAACAGAACATTAAAGGAGTTGGCTGCCCCTAATTTGAATCAACAACCTTTGTGTATTGAGTACCCTAACTTAGAAGCCACATTTGAGTTAAAGTCAGGACTAATACATTTGTTGCCTACCTTTTGTGGTTTTGCAGTTGAGGATCCTCATAAGTATTTGAAGGAATTGTATATGGTGTGTTCAAGTATGAGGCCACAAGGTATCTCAGATGAGCAAGTGAAGTTATGGGCTTTTCCTTTCTCCTTGGCAGATTTGGCTAAGAACTGGTTGTATTATCTTCTGTTAGGCTCCATTAACTCCTGGAATGAGATGAAATGGTTGTTTTTAAAAAAATTATTTCTTACTTCACAAGCTGCCAATATCAGGAAGGAAATCTGTGGCATTTAACAATATAATGAAGAGACCTTGTATGAGTATCGGGAGCACTTCAAGAAATTGTGTGTAAGCTGTCCACACCATCAAATACCTGATCACCTCCTAATCTAGTATTTTTATGAAGGCATATTACCAATGGCTAGGAGTATGGTGGATGCTACTAGTGGAGGTGCATTGGTTGACAAAACACCAAAAGCTATTAAGAATTTGATTTCCAACATGGCAGTCAATTCTCAACAATTTGGGATAAGGATGGATTACACACCAAAGAAAGTTAACGAAGTCCATACTTTTAGCATGAACATTAACTTTCAAATTTAACTTCTTTGATGAGGCAAATGGTAGTAAATAACATGCAAGCTGCTAAGGTGTGTGGAATATGTTTGATTGCTGGTCATGCTACAGATATGTGTCCAAGTTTGCAAGAAGAAGAGCCAATCCAATAAGCCAACATGATTGGTGGTTTTCCAGGGCAGCCTTAGTGAAAATATGATCCATTCCTACAACCTGGGCTGGAGAGATCATCCGAATTTGAGCTACGGGAACCAACCTACTCAAAATTGCTATCAACCCCTATTCTAGACAAGACAACAAGCAAATCAGTCCCCAAATCTGTCACTTGATGAGATTGTTAAGGCACTGGCTAACAATACATAGTAGTTTCAGCATGAGACGAGAAACAACATTCAAAATTTGGAGAAGCAGATTAGTCAGTTGGCAACATCAGTGAGCAAGCTTGGGGCACAAGGTTATGGGAAACTACCTTCCTAAACAGTTGTGAATCCTAATGAAAATGCGAGTGCCATTACGTTATGGAGTGGGAAAGAGATAGACGCCCCTTACAAAATCCTATAGTTTCGGCCAAAAAGACTCAAATAGATTAGGAGGTAAAAAGTGAAACTGAGAATTCGTCCAAGGTGACCCCTCTAACAGTAGTGCATAATTCAACCAAATCTACTCCCATCCCTTTTCCGAGTAGATTGTCCAAGTCTAAGAAAGACGAATAAGAGAAGGAGATCTTGGAGACTTTATGGAAGGTAGAGGTGAATATTCCCCTTCTTGATGCCATTAAGTAAGTTCCAAGATATTCAAAGTTTCTCAAACAGTTGTGCACTACAAAGAGAAAGTTGAGAAATAATGAGAAAATTAGTGTGGGGGAGAACGTGTCAGCAGTAATTTAGTGTAAGTTACCCAAAAAATGTAAGGATATAGGTATGTTTACAATCCCATGTGTCATTGGTAATACTAAATTTGAACATGCCATGTTAGATTTAGGTGCATCTATAAATGTCATGCCATATTCAATTTATGGATCTTTGAATTCTGGTCTTTTAAAAGAAACAGGTGTAATAATTCAGTTAGCTGACCGTTCTAACGCATACCTTGAGGGGGTTAGTTGAAGATGTTTTGGTGCAAGTTAATGAACTAATATTTCTTGCTGATTTCTACATTCTGAATATGGAGGACAATGGTTCTCCAAACCTCGCCCAATTCTGCTTCGAAGACCCTTCATGAAAACAGCTAGGATGATGATTAATGTTCATGACGGTACTCTTACCATGGAGTTCGATAGGGAAATTTTCAAATTTAATATATTTGAGGCCATGAGGTACCCTAGTGATATTCAATCTGCATTTTCTATTGATGTTATTGATGTGTTTGCGTCAGAGGTTTTTGAAATAAGAAATGAAGACGAGTTAGAAGTGGTGCTTAGCCAAGGGTTACAGGACATTAATACAAAATTGCAACTGAATTCAAATGTTGAGGAGATGATCATGGCATTGCAATCACTACCTTTAGTTCCAAAAAGGTATGATTTGTTAAAAATTGAGTTACTAGTATCTAACTCGAAGTTGTTGCCTTCTATGGTGCAGGCACCAGTTTTGGAGCTGAAGCCTCTTCCTAACCACCTGAAGTATGCATACTTGGGGGAAAAGGAGACATTACTAGTCATCATTGCGAAGAATGTGACTTCAATACAAGAAGAAAGGTTGCTAAGAGTGCTATGGGACCACAAAACAACCATTGGTCAGAATATAGCAGACATTAAAGGCATAAGTCCATCAATGTGTATGCATCGAATCTTGTTGGAAGATGGTTCAAAACCAAGCCGAGAAGCTCAACGGAGATTGAATCCTATGATGATGGAGGTAGTCAAGAAAGAGATTTTAAAGTTGTTGGATGTAGGAGTGATTTACCCTATATCAGATAGCAAATGGGTGAGTCCAATCCAAGTTGTGCCAAAGAAATCTGGAGTTACGGTGGTTAGGAATCAAGATAACGAGCTTGTTCCAACAAGGATTCAGAATGGATGGTTTATGTGTATAGATTACCGCAAGCTGAACACAGTGACAAGGAAAGATCATTTTCCTTTACCTTTCATCGATCAGATGCTCGAGCGATTAGCTGGTAAGTTTCATTATTGTTTTCTTGATGGTTATTCGGGTTATAATCAGATTGTTATTGCATTTGAGGACCAAGAGAAAACCACATTCACATGCCCATTCGGGACGTTTGCATTTAGAAGAATGCCATTTGGACTTTGTAATGCTCTAGCAACATTTCAAAGATGCATGTTAAGTATTTTTTCTGACTTAATAGAAAATTGCATTGAAGTGTTTAGATGATTTTACGGTATATGGTGATTTTTTTGATATTTGCTTGGATAATTTAGCTCGTGTATTGGAACGTTGCATTGAGACAAACCTTGTTTAGAATTTTGAGAAGTGTCATATGGTAGAGCAAGGCATTGTCTTAGGTCATGTAATTTCATGTAGGGGTATTGAGGTAGACAAAGATAAGATTGATTTAGTTGTAAACTTACCATATCCCACGAGTGTGCGGGAAGTGCGTTCTTTCCTTGGACATGCAGGTTTTTATCACAGATTCATTAAGGATTTCTTGAAGATTGCTTTGCCGTTGTCTAGGCTTTTGCAAAAAGAGGTGCCCTTTAAGTTCAGCTCAGAGTGCAAGGATGCATTTGACAAGCTGAAATTTGCCTTGACCACAGCCCCCATAATCCAACCCCCTAATTGGACTTTGCCATTCGAAATAATGTGTGATGACAGTAATTATGCACTGGGAGCGGTTTTAGGGCAATGTCATGGCAAGCAAGCTCATGTGATTCATTATGCATCCAAAACATTGAATCCAGCTCGATGCAATTATTCTACGATCGAAAAAGAGCTTTTAGCCATAATATTTGCATTAGACAAATTTTGGTCGTATGTGCGTGGCTCTAAGGTGATTGTATTCTCAGATCATGTAGCTTTGAAACATCTTTTAGCAAAGAAGGAGTCGAAGCTGAGACTGATTAGATGGATTTTACTCTTATAAGAATTCGATCTTGCGATCAAAGACAAGAAAGGAGCTGAGAATTTTGTTGCAGATCATTTGAGCCAATTGGTAAGAGAAGAAAAGCCTGAACTGTAGTAGTTGTTTGCTTTAAAAGGTATGGTTCCTTGGTATGTTGATTTATCAAATTATTTAGTTGGTAGGATCTTACCTGATGATTTGCCTAGGGCTAAAAAGGACAAATTTAAAAGTGAGGCTAAATACTATGTGTGGGATGATTCGTATTTATGGAGATATTGTTCAGGTCAGATTATTAAGAGATGTGTGCCTAATTCTGAAATTCAGTATGTTCTTATGTTTTGTCATACTTATGTTTGTGGAGGTCAATTTGGACCTAAGAGAATAGCTAGGAAAGTGTTAGATAGTAGATTTTATTGGCCTACATTATTTCATGATGCTTATGTATTTTGCAAAAATTGTGAACAATGTCAAAGGACTGACAATTCCAAAGCTATTGTAGGTTTTATCAGGTCTAACATTTTTAGTAGTTTTGGAATTCCAAGAGCAATGATTAGTGATCAAGGGACTCATTTTTGCAATTGAATAGTAGATGCTTTGATGAAAAAGTATGATGTTTTCCATAAAACTTCTACTTCTTTTCACCCCCAAACAAATGGACAAGCTAAAGTATCTAATAGGGAAGTCAAATCCATCTTGGAGAAGATTGTGAAGCCGAACAGAAAAGATTGGAGCCTTAGACTTGATGATGCGTTATGGGCTTACAAGATAGTATACAAAACACTCGTTGGGATGTCCCTCTATCGATTGGTTTTTGGTAAGTCATGTCACCTTCCTGTAGAGTTGGAGACAAGGCTTATTGGGCAGTGAAGAGTTGCAACATGGACTTCGAAAAAGTTGGTGAGCAAAGAAAATTGCAGTTGCAAGAGTTGGAGGAGATACGACTTGAAGCCTATGAGAACTCAAGAATTTACAAGGACAAGACCAAGGCAATTCATGACAAGATGATTGTTAGAAAGCACTTTGTGGTTGGAAGGAAAATCTTACTTTATAATTTAAGACTTAAATTAATGCCTAGTAAGTTATGTTCTCGTTGGATTGGACCCTTTGAAGTTACTAATGTTTTTCCTTATGGTGCAGTTGAAGTGCGAAGTCTAGGAACTAATAAGGTGTTCAAGGTCAATCGGCATAGGCTTAAGCCATTTTATGAAGGCTTTCAGGAACATACGACAGAAGAAGTGCGACTGGGTGTTCCCGTTTATGCAGATTAAGGTGAGCTTCAGAGTCGGGCTAACGACGTTAAACAAAGGCGCTATTTGGGAGCAAACCAAGGGGAGTATTTACTTAATTTTTTTATTTTATTTTTACATTGAATAATAACTCTTCTTTACAATTGGATTTTACATTGGGGACAATGTAAGCTTTAAGTGTGGGGGAGAGGCTTAGGTAGGATTATTTTTTTTCAATAAATAGTGTGTCTCGTGTATGCTTTGAAGTTAATTGAAAAAAAAAATTAAATTTTTTTTTTTAGGCTTTAAGTCAGGTCCTTGAATACCCGATGATGCATGAGATCTTAACTTGACTTATGTAAATAAGTATACTCCTTAGTTTGGGATGTTAGCAATATTCTATAAACTAGAGTTACGCACATTTGAATCTTGGTAGTCAATTGAAATGATACATGTCTTGAAAAGTTGGGTGAACCTAGTGACAAGGCATGATTGAAGAGTGTATAGCAACTCTCAAAAACGTTTTTTCTTAAGCTAGTCCTAAATTCGGGTTTAAGTAAATAGGATTAAAAAAAAGAAAAGATAAAAAAATCAAATTGTTCTACTCTGCTATCTAAGTTGTTAAATAACTAGGGTCTTGACTAAAAATGTTAACCCTTATTTCAATCTGTGACTTAAGACATGAGTATGCAAAGCACCTTTCGGTTGTTTCCTGTTGATTAAATTATGGGCTACGACTGAAGGAAGAGTTATATTTATAAATAAATAAATAAACCCCTAGTTTGCTACCTAGTTTGTAGTAGTAAAGAGAAATGGTTGAGGGATTAGTTGTGCATGAGTTAGTTGTATTAAGCTGCCTAGTTCACCTTGAATAATTGAGAGTAATTATGGATATAGATGAAAAGAGAGATAAATGTATTTAGCTATGGTTTAGTCTATGATTGCTACATTCTAAATTAGGTATGAGTATGCTTAATTTGCATACTTAATGATTAAACATAATTGTTGGTGCATCATGACGGTGTTCTTGGTGTGGTTTGAGTTAGTATAGTGTGTTCTTAGCGTTGAGTTATTTTGCCCGAGGACATGCAAAAGGAAACCAAGTGTGGGTTTATATTTTTATTATCCTTGCATTTTTACTTTTGGATGTTTTGGGTTGTTTGTAGATTTTTGATGGACTTGGAGTTACAGTTTGGTTTCTGAACCATCTATGAAGTTAAATTAGACATCTTAAGCTTTCCAAGTTGGGATGGCATGTCCAGATATGACTTCGTTTGGGCCTTCAATTGTTGGTGTAAAGTCAGAGCTAAAAATTGAAGTCGAATCCTAATTGGAGTAGGATTTCTGTCCCACCACTAGAGCTTTAAAAGGGCATAACTTGAGTTTCTGAACTCGAATGAGATGATTCAAAAGCCCAAATTAAAGTACACATCCTGAACTACAATTCTTATGAAGGGGCCGAAGTCCAAAAAGCTCGTTGTCCTATCCAAAACTGGCCTGGAAGTTATGGCTTTAGCCCAAAAGCTTTAATCCTTAGCTGATTTGGATTTTTTTGTATGGTTCGTATAAAGACTTGGTCCAACTTCAAAAGGGAGTTCAATACAATTCTGAAGGGCTAGAAATTCTTGTGTATGATCTAGAATTCACTTACACAAATTAACTACACTGCCATTGTCGACCATTACCCTGAGTACTCTGGCATTACTGATCCTTGCTGCGATTATGATCGCATCATGGTGGTGGTGAGGAGATAATAAAAAATATACATAGAAAAAACAAAAAACAAAAATTAATAACAAAGACAAATAAGAAGAATTTAGAAAAAAAAAAAAAAAAAAAGGAACAAAAAAAAACAAGACAACCAAAAAAAATAAATAAAAAAAAAACAAAAAAAACCAAAAAAAAAAGGAACCCAAAAAAAAAAAACCAACAAAAAAAAAATAATTAGAAAGGAAAAAAAGAAAAAAATAAAATAATAAAATAGAATTTAAAAAAAATAAAACTCCTTAACAAATTCTTTCAAGTGGCTTTTTCTGATCAGATCCTTGATGGCGTCTTTCAATGCTTGACACTCATTAATGTTGTGCCCGATGTCTCGGTGGTACTGGTAGTATTTTTGGTGATCTCTTATGCCTGGTGCCCCCTTATTCTTTTTGGTGCAGGCAGTCTCCTAGCCTTGCGAGAGACTTCATAAATGTGAGCTACATCTTGAGACAAGGGGGTGTATTCTACATAACGCGGAAAAGCCTGCCTTTCGCCGTGGTTATTTGTTTTTTCCCTTTTTTGAAACCTATTGTAGTCTCTATCACTGCGACCTTGGCCCCTCCATTTTTCTATTGGGCGATCTTGTTGACTGTCAGAGGCTCTTCTGGGTGAGTTCCTGGCTAAGGCTGCCAACAAACTTTCTAGTCACTGATGCTTGGCGGCCATTTGATTGAACTTGACCAGGCTTACATGGTCTTCCCTTTGAAGCTCTTTCCATAGCTCCGTCTACAGCCGTATTCCCGATATTAGCAAAGTTTGGATTGATTCTTCAGGTGCATTATCAACCTTTGCTTGTTTGTTCTAGAACCTCGTTAAGTATGAGATCAGAGTTTCGTCTCTTTCTTGACGAATGTTGCTTAGATAGTTGAGAGGTATTGTGAACTGTCTCCTCGCTTGGAATTGTTACAAATATAGGGAGGAGAATTGTTGCCATGAATGTATTGTGTTCGCCTTAAGCCTTATGTACCACCTCTTGGCATCCCCTACTAAAGTGACCGTGAAACAACGACACTTTGCCAAGTTGGAGACCTAATGCAACTCCATCAGGTCGTTGAAAAAGTCTAGGTGATCTTTAGGATCCTATTTTCCATCGAACTTACTCTCTGGCTCCCTGAATCCTTAGGGAAGTAGGGCTTGACGAACTTGCTCCGTGAATGGAGAACTTACTATCTCTTCTGTCACATTATTTTGACAGGCTCTTAGATCGTTGAGCATTCTCTGCACCTGATCTAAGTCCTTATTATGAGGAGTGTTCTGGCTACGAGCTCTCTTCAGCCTTACCTTGAGCAGGTGAGTCCAGAGATCAGTTGCTTGTGAGCCTGCTCTATTGTGCACACTAGTGCGCGAGGTGGAGTCATGATGGCTTGGTTGATAAGTAGTATCATTCTCGTCCATGCACTGCCTGCGATGTTGGTTAAAATCAAAATGTCAATCATTGCCAGATTGGCATGTGACTCATGTTAGAGTAGGTGCCCTAGAGCCAATCAATTATTGTAAAATTGACTATTTGTAATAATGTTTATTTATCAATTATAGGCTTATTCTTCTATATCATGTAAATCATAATTGTGTGCATTGATATATGTTCCTAGGATGATGGAACCATGGCGAAGGTATCAAGTGTTTCAAATCTTGATAGTGAGAACCCTATGATCACATATAGTGGCCATTCTAGAAATATCTGTAGCCCCAGTATTATTCTGACTAAGGACACAAATAATATGGTAAGGCTATCATAGTGTTGAACGACCCTATCGAAAGACAGTCACTGATCTCACTTGTCAAGATTGTTTGCCAACAACCTGGTGCAACACATAGGTGATTGTTGTAGGCAAGTTCACTAGACAGACCAGAGGATTTAATGTGGATGGTAACCCTAGCGTCTATGGAATAAATCCTCTAACGAATGGTGGTGCATGTGAACCTTAGACTTGAGATCATCAGAGCGCCTTGTGCACCAATTGGTGTAGTTTGACACTAGCCCAATATAGTTTTATTCAAAGCTATCAATGCAGTAGTGATTGGCTGCATCAAGGAGTGTATCAAGACTATGGTAGATCGACAAAAGATTCATCACTCCCAAGTACGAGAGAAGTTATCTCACTGCGTAATTCAGTAAATGGCAATGACACCAAATCTGTGGCCACAGTGAGATTGAGTTATTGCTCAATCCAATTTATTATTCCGATCATTGGTCTTGTAACCAAATACAAAGATATTAAGGATAACTGAGGTTGACACTATTTCTGTAACTCAACCTCGATGAGATAACATATAACAAAAGAATTTGATTGCACGGTAAGCATATTGTTGATAGGTAGCTATTTTGCTGAATCCGAATCTATCAGGTGGCCATGATGCCTTTCTTGGGGCCAATCTTGGTCTATGTGTAGTGAGACAATTAATTGGTGTTAATCGCGATACTACTCATTGCCGATAAGATAAGGAGCCTACGGGTCACACACTTAGAAGATAATTTAAGAATTAATCTGTGAAATGGGTATTTTCGTCTTTTAGGACAAAAGAGTATTTTGGTAATTTCACAGTGCAATTAAATTTGCTGAGGTTGTTGCTTGTATTTAATTTTAATATTAAAATTAAAATTAGTGAGATTATATTTAAATATGTGTTTGCATATATTTAAATGAATTATTATTAATTAAATGTTAATATATATTTTAATATATATTAATTGATTTCAATTATAATAATAATTATATAATATTAAAATACCATAAAAGGGTGTTTGGTTACAAGGGTGGATTAATATGTGAATCCATGGCTATTCCCAATGGGATTAGGGTTTTAACTAATTGACACTATATAAGTAAAACTTAATTAAAACAAATAGAGAGATTTCATTCATTCAATTAAATTAAAAGAAAAACCCTAGCCACCATCACTCTCCCTCTCATGGTTTTGGTAGATTGAATCAAAGAATCATTCTTTGATTTTTACTTGATTCTTGAAGCCTACAAATTGTTCTAGCAAAACAATTGTCAATTCTCCGGATTGTCTTCATGTGGATCAACGTTCGTGTGATTCTTAATTGAATCGGAAGCGAAATCAAATCAGAGACATTTGAAGGAGCCTCCAAACGTACGTAAGTTTTCTAATCCTTGAACGGATTAATATTGTTTTATATAGGATTATTTTTAGCATGAAAAATATTGTATTCAATACTTGGATCTTGGCGCAAAAGTAATTGATTTTTTCGATTTATTATTGTTTTTCTGCTATGTGCGGGAGATCAATTACTTACAGCTCATCTCGTGAGC